GCCAAGAGCAGAGGAGGAAAGCCCTGCCTGTCGCTCAGGTCCTGGGAGTGCCCTGCAACCGAGAGGAGCGGTTCCCAGGCTTGCCCTGCCCGTCTGGCCTCGCTCACACAGATGCCTTCTGCTCCTCTGAACCTGAGATCCCACACCCTGCTCTCCATCGGGAAAACAATTGGCCTTTTCAGACGCAGCCTGGGTTTCTGAGTCACACCGCTCTCCCTAGCATCTCCCCCTTCTTCCCCGGTAAGAGGGAACAGAGGTCTCAGTGAAAGGGCTCCATTGATAGGCATGGGCCTGACAGCGTGAGAGCGGAAGCCGCAGGAGGTGAGCCAGGCTCTGCCCTGCCTGCTGGCCAGGAGCAGCACTAAGATGCCAGCCGTCCGGCCCACCCGGTCCTCACATTTGCCATATGGCCACAGGGGGAAGAAAGGACACCTGCCCATGGTCAGGGCTGGCATTTCCATATGCTGCATATGTTGCTCCACTTAAGGCTCATAGAATTTTAAAGGCGTAACAGTAACAGAAAATGACTAACACGTCCAATACACCCGCATGCCAGCCGCTGTGCTAAGTGCCTTCTACGCCTTCTCCCAATGGTCATAACTCATGACAGCAGTGATGAAACTCATTTAGAAGGCTACGACTAGAATTTTTTAAAAAGGGAAACACACAAGACTGGAATTAAGTTAGAAAACTAGAGGGCATCCCACAAAGTAAGGGTAGGGTTGTTTTTGCAAACCTGTGTATTCATTCACAGGTACTGGATGACGATGTAAAATGTATTTCTCACTGTGGGCAGAGGCTACACCAAAAAAACTGTTCTTTCTTATTTTTGCCGTAATCATCCTGAGGTATGTTCAGTTGCTAAACAAGTTTAACAAGTACTTCCCCAAACTCATCGGCACCCCACACCATGGATACCAGCTGCCCCTCCAGGCTCCCAACACAACGGCCTCCTTTCTACTTCTCTTTCCCCCGCCAGAACGCGGGCCATTCCCTCAGCCCAGGACATTCTCCGCGCCCCCTCACCAGCTCTCTGCACAGCTGGCCCCTCCCCATCCTCCAGGTCTCAGCCTGGGAGTCAGCTCCAGAGAGGCTCCTGGACGTCCAGCCCACGCAGCCCGCTCCCGATCAGGGCCACGGTGGCCTGTTTCCTGGTTGGCCGTCTGCCTCACCACAGGGCTCCAGACAGCGATGCTACCTGATGGACTCCCAACGCACATGGCATCCAGCGCAGCACCAGGCGCTCGTCTGCTACACGAGCACAGAAACTTCCCAACTCCTCACCGCTAGTAAAGGGCAGAGCAGAACCCCAGCCCAGCCATGTCTGCCCCGAGGCTTGCGGAGCCCCTGCCGGACGCTGAAACCCGAACAGCACGCTGCCTCGGCTCCCACTGCTGGTCCGCGTTAGCGCTGGGGCAGGACCCCGCATGCCTGCCTCGGATGCCCGTGCTCTCCTATGTCAATGGAGGGGGAGTAGCCGCTCGGGCCAGCTGAGATTGGAGGGGATAAAGGAGAAGACTGCAAACCTCCAAGCTAGAGGAGAAATGTGCCAGTGACCAGAGAAACACCACAAGAAACAAGGAGAGCAACCAGCTCAGAAATGGGGGTGGGGGAGCTCCCCCAGACACCTGTTCTGGGAAAGCAGGGAAATTCAAGGGGCAACTGTGCAGGGGTTCAGAGGGCTGAGGCTGTGGAGGGCACTTTAAGGCCCCCCTGGCAGTGGGAAGAGCTGGTGACTCAGAAAGAGATGGGAGAGGCAGGACTGAAAGGCTCTGGCACCGGAGGCCCAAGGAGCCGAGGAGCCGGCTACGGAATGCTTTGGCAATGCTGCCCCCTCGTGGCTGTGGAGTGCTTGGTCCTCAGGAAAGAACAGCGGTCAGCTTGTGGCTTTATTCTTCAGCAGCCATGTACTGAGCACCTAACGAGGGTCTGACAAGCCCCAACTCTCAACGACCGTGGTTCCCTACGGCCAGGCAATGACCAAGCCCTGTTGAGCTTACTTCCCTCTTTTCATAGCAAGACTGTGAGGACAAAGCTGTGTCTCACTCATCTCTGAAGCTCCAGTGCCCAGGAGAGGGCCCAGCGCGTCAGAGTAAGGACGGCAGCTACTACTCAGCACGTGCGAAGTCTCTGACATGCAGAGCGCACCGGAGCCTCACCTCCTGCCCGTCTGGTACCTGAGACTTCCCACTGGAGACGCCCAGGAGGCGTTCATTCCAGTGTGAGCCTGGGGTTCTTGGAAAGGTCAGGGGTAGCGAAGTAAACATGGGCATCGCCCGCACACAGGTGATGATTAGAGGCCAGTGCCCTCACATTTTAACGTGCATGAGTCCCCTGGGGGTTTGCTCATACGCAGGTTCTGAGGTCTGCAGTGGGGACCGAGATTCCATGTGCCTGACAGCTCCCAAGGGATACCGACACTGTGGTCCACAGATCACACTCTGAGCGGGAAAAATCTGAACCAGGGGTTGACAAACTGGCCAGAAGGTCGAACCTGGCCCAGCTGAGAGCAGTATTTTCATTTTTAAAGGCGTTGAGAAAAAGAAAAAGGAGAGCCCTGGCCGGGTAGCTCAGCTGGGTTGAGCGTTGTCCTGATATGCCAAGGTTTTGGGGTCAATGACCAGTCAGGGCACGTACAGGAAACAACTAACGAATGCATGAATAAATGGAACAACAAGTTGATGTTTCTCTTTCTCTCTCTAAAAATCAATTAAGAAAGGGAGTATGTGACAGAGGCCATTTGTGGCTCATAAGCTTAAAACACTTATTCTCTGGCCCGTCCACAGTTTGCCAAGAAGCGCATCCAGGGACAGGATGCATAGCTAAACAAGAAGAGAGAGAGGACAGCTCGGAACAAACTGTTATGACTTCGTCTGGGCAGGGAGAACAAAGTGGACCACACCGCATGCATGCGAGCACTTATGCTCAGAAGGCAGCGCTGGGAATGAGCGAACATCTGAGGCGCCCGGTGGGAGCGGGCTGTGCTGGGGAAAAGGCAGAGACCCTGGGGCTCCGAATGGGGAAGAGGGCCTGTGGTAAACGGATAACTGACTGTCCCTTTCCCTATTTAATTTAAGGGAAAAAAACGACAAAGATAAGGAGGGGCCATCATCACTTTGTGCAATACCAGAGAAGCACTGGAAAAATAAAATAAGAAAAAGCTGTGAATTCTACAGAGCTGCTCTGTGGAGACCTTCATTTTGGCTGAGGGTTGGGGAGGGTAGATGCAGGGATGCAGGGAGGCCAGGGGAAGGGGTGACAGCAGAATAAACACCCCAGAACCCCAGGTGCTGTCTGGCGACAGTGCCTTCTGTCATGCTTCTGCCTCTCCGAGTTGAAGGATCTATTTGCTTAAAGGGCCATGCCCAAGAAAGTAAATACAGCTGTCCCTTTCTGTCAAGTTGAGCCAATCAATCTGGCTTCCCCTCAATGGAGGACCAGGCTGTTTTGCTGGCAGTTGTGAAGCTTTGCTTGTCTCACATCAAGTATTCACATATATCTCCAAAGGCCAACAACAGCACCCTTTCGTGGGGTGCGGAAAAGACTAAATCTATCAGAAAGGCTGTGGCAGGATATCCATAAAGCCAAACTGTTCTTAAATGCCAGAAGGCAAATAAAAAGGCAGATGGGTATGTGCTGCAAAGCAGATCCCAGCATTTCCTGGTCAAGAGGTACTTCAAGGTCAACCAGTCTCCCCCACACTTCTGACAAAGCGGCCTATTCAGTCTAACCACTGAAAGAAGAAGTTCACCTCATGCCTGGCTTTTGGCATGGAATATTCTTCTTTTTCCCTCTTTTCAATAAATTATACTTGTGTCCTGGCTGGTGTGCTCAGTGGTTGGAGCATCGTCCTGTGCACCAAAAGCTCTCAGGTTCAATTCCCATCAGGGCATGTACCCAGCTTGCGGGTCCAATCCCTTCAGGATGCATGTGGGAGGCAACCAATCGATAGTTCTCTCTCTCTCCCCTTCTCCCTTCCTCTCTCTAGAATCAATGAAAAGCATATCCTTGAGTGAAGACGAAAGAAAATAAAAATAAAAATACTTGCAATCAAAAACAAATCTCTGGCCCTGGCCGGTGTGGCTCAGTTGGTTGAAGCACTGTCCCCTACACCCAAAGGCGGTGGGTTCGATTTCCAGTCAGGACACATACCCAGGTCGCAGGTTCAATCCTGGGTCAGGGCTCCTATGAAAGGCAACTGCACATCAGTGTTTCTCTCTCTAAAAAAAAGTAAACACAAACAAACAAACAAAACTCCCCCACAAATCTGTCTTTTAAGCCTTGAATTCCTGTCCTTCTCAAGCCCATCCCCCTGGATCACACTCATTGCCTCCCCTACTAGCAGTGAGTTCCTTTAGGGAAGTGACCCGGCACACTGCTCATCTCACCAAGAGTGGGGAGCAGTCCTCAGCTACTGGGAGATCAGTGTTTCGGGTGCCTGTTGGCTGTGTGATCTTGGCCGAGTTGCTCAACCTTCCAAAACCTCAGTTCCCTCCCCTGTAAAGTCCTGTCACCACAAGGCTATTCTGAGGATAAAATATGATGATAGATGAAGAGCACTGAGAATGGTGGCTAGCTCAAGGTAAGGATTTAGTAAGTGCTGACATTCATTATTATTCAGTTAGTAGATGAACCTGTTCTCTCCCATGAGTCACACTTCCTCCTCAAAACAGACTACACCAGAGCAGTTTCTCAACCTCGACACTACTGCCATTTCTGGTTGTGGGGGCCCATCCTGTGTTTTCTAGGACATTAGGCAGCATCCCTGGCCTCTACCCTCCAGGTGCCAGCAGCAACCCCCACCTCCCCAATTCTGACAACCAAAAATTGTCATTCTGAGATTGTTAAATGTCTCCCGGGGGGCCAAAATGCCCTCTTCCTTCCATTGAGAACTACTGCACTAGAATATGCAAATCAGTCATGGGGAGTAGCCACCCCTCCCTAATGTCCCACCACCCTGCTCTCCCCACAGGCAGCCACCTCGGCCGCCACTTGCTCACCACTCAGCTGCCTCGGAGGAAACAGGTGATAGGTGCTGTAAATATCATTGGAGAACTGCAACTGGAGCTCCGGGCTGCCCGTCAGGAGCTGGGCCACCTGTTCCACCTGGAATGGTGTCTTCTCCAGGATCACAATGGCATCCTCTCCATCCCCAGAGGCCTCATTCACCTGTGGGGGGGGAGACACCCATGAGGCCTGGAGAACAGAAGCAGAAACCCCCCTTCCCTCTTCCCCCCCCCTCCCAGGGCCTCTGAATTCCCAACATTTGGGATTTCCTTTCCCTGCAGTTTCTCTCCCCGAAAGTCTAGCCAATGGCACTGTTTCTCCTCCCAGGGGAGAAGTCATTAACCTAAATCAGTGATGGCGAATCTTTTGAGCTCGGCGTGTCAGCATTTTGAAAAACCCTAACTGAACTCTGGTGCCGTGTCTCATATAGAAATTTTTTGATATTTGCAACCACAGTAAAACAAAGACTTATATTTTGGTATTTATTTTATATATTTAAATGCCATTTAACCAAGAAAAATCAACCAAAAAAATGAGTTCGCATATCACCTCTGACACACATGTCATAGGTTCGCCATCACTGACCTAAATCCTTTCTTTTTTTTCTTTTTTTTTAAATATATTTTATTGATTTTTTTACAGAGAGGAAAGGAGAGAGATAGAGAGTCAGAAACATCAATGAAAGAGAACCATTGATCAGTGGCCTCCTGCACATCCCCCACCGGCGATGTGCCCGCAACCCAGGTACATGCCCTTGACCGGAATCAAACCTGGGACCTTTCAGTCCGCAGGCCAACGCTCTATCCACTGAGCCAAACCAGTTTCGGCAATCCTTCCTTCTAAAACAGGGGTGGGGAGTGTCCCACCCAGAAGGCCCACTAAATCATTTGGTCTGGCTCTGCCACGGCTTACGGGTGAGTTCATTAAATGCCTGACCAAATATAGCAGGCTAGTTGTTGTTGCTTTTTTTAAACAGGCGACTTTTTAGGTTGGTAATTTTGTACGGCCGGCGAATGATGTTTATAAATATCCAAATGGCCCTGGGCAGAGAAAAAGGTTCCCCACCCCTGCTCTCAAAGATGGGAAGCTTCTGGGCTGTCTTCAATTTTAAGCTCACAAGGGGCCTCTGTTAAATTCTCCCCATTTTACAAACGAAGACACGAAGGTCTAGAGAGGTCTGTGATCGCCCCAGGTCCCTGAACAGTCAGGACTGAAAAGGAAACTAGAATCTGGGCATCCCAACTAACCCCTTGAAACGCAAACGTTCTCAGGGCTAAACTCTTAAGCCAGTGATGGCGAACCTATGACACGCGTGTCAGAGCTGACACTCGAACTCATCTTTTTGGTTGATTTTTCTTTGTTAAATGGCATTTAAATATATAAAATAAATATCAAAAAATATAAGTCTTTGTTTTACGATGGTTGCAAATATCAAAAAATTTCTATATGTGACACGGCACCAGAGTTAAGTAGGGTTTTTCAAAATGCTGACACGCCGAGCTCCAAAGGTTCGCCATCACTGTCTTAAGCGGTGCCGCAGGCTGAGAGGCCCAGACAGAACCTGGTGAAAACACAAGAGACGCACAGAGAGAAGCATGGATGCCGAGGACCAGGTCCCCCGCGATCCTCCCAAAGTGAGAGCTCCGGCTAGGAGTGCTGGGGAACCCCAGGACCTGCCCTTGGCTGGGCCTCCTCCCGAGTCACAGGCTGGCCTCCGGTCTCTCCCCAGTCCCTGCTGGGGAGCTGAGCACGTGTATTCCCGGCCGGCGGCGGTGGGAAGGTGTCTCCCCCAAGCTCCTCTGCACCCCTGAAGATCAGGGCTGGGAACCTCCATCTCTACACCCCCAGGACCCAGCTCAGGGCTGGCCTGCCGGCGCATGGCAGGTGGCCCTGAATTAGCCATTTCATAACCTGCTCCTCTGTGGGGGCTGGAGTCCTGCACGGCAGGGCTCGGGTGTCCTACCGTCCGTCTCCTGCCGGCCCCGGGGGCCCGGAGGGAGCAAGGCGGCCCGGCCACATCGGCTGGGTTCCCAGCACCTTTACAGAGCGGATGGACACAGGATGAGTGATTTGAAGCATTTAACACGGGATGATTCACCTGCCAGACACCCTACCAGTGCCAGCGGTTCCTTTTGCAAAGGGAGGGGTTAGGAAAATCAGCCGCACGTGTTAAAGGCCCCATCTCCACGGGTGACCGCGTCTTCTCCATCCCCCACCCCAACCCTCCCCAAAGCACTGCAGACCTGCGCTTCCTCCCTCACCCCCGAGTAATGCGATTGGTGCTTCCCGGCCGAGAGGCCCACGAGATCCGCCCCACCCCCGGCGGCGGTACCCGGTCCCCCGCCCAGGGCCGCCGCCGCTACCTTGCCGTGCAGGAAGAGGATCTTGTCCCGCGCGGACTCCCGCAGCACTTTCTGCACTCTGAAGCCGGAGAAAGGGAGGTGGGCAGGGGCAGCGGTGCCATTCCCAACGCCGGCTGTTCTGGCTTCCTTGTCCTCTGTGCCGGGCGCGTCTTCCCCTGCGGCGGCCACTTCGCGCTTCCTCTTGCTCGGCGGAGGGGCCGCGTCCGCCATGCTGCCCACGGGAGAGCGCGCCTGCGCAGACCCCGACGCGCCCCGCCCCGCCCCCCTGCGCGAGTGGCCGCTACTACAACTCCCGGCATGCTCCGGGCGCTGACCCCGGCGACCTTCCGGGGGACCGATTTCAGCCAAGGGACTGAGATGACGGGGCGCAGAGGGAAGAGGAGAGGAGGCAGCGAGCCCTTAGATGGGGGCCATAGCAGTGCTGCGCTGGGGAGGGCACCCGGGCCATCCGGGCCGGACTCTGAAGGCTTTGACACCTTGATCTTAGAATACCGGCGCTTTAACAAAAATTATACCAACTCTGAGTAGTTAACATGGAAGCAAGTCCTTCTAAAACCAATCAGTTGAGCCCTGGCTGTTTCGGCTCAGCGGATAGAACATCGGCCTAGGGACTGAAGGGTCCCAGGTTCGATTCAGGTCAAGGGCACATGCCCGGGTTGTGGGCTCGGTCCCCACTGGGGGGCGTGCAGGAGGCGGCCCATGGGTGATTCTTATCATTGATGTTTCTCTCTCTCTCTCTCCCCCTTCCTCTCTGAAATCAATAAAAATATATATTAAAAAAATAAACAAAACCAATCAGTTGAGCCGATCTTATTAATTGGTCCACATTTTTAAAAAATGTGTTCTTATTGATTTCAGAGAGGGGGAGAGAGATAGAAATGTCAATGATGAGAGAGAATCACTGATGGGCTGCCTCCTGCATGCCCCACAACTGGGGCCTGAAACCCGTGCCCTGACTGGGAATCCAACCGTGACCTCCTGGCTCATAGCGAACACTCCACCATGAGCCAAGCCAGCGGGGCAGTGTGTATGCATTTTTTTAGGACACCCTATATATCGAGTTGGATAAAAAGCTAATTGTTTCCTGAAGCAGAGCAGTTAGTAGGGGAAGCTTAGGATCTAAAGTCATCTTCAACCAGAAGCATTTGCTGCTTGTTCAGTTTCCTGGGTTCATCCCTCACCGTCTGGGGCCATTCAGTAGGAGGTTATAAACTGTGTGCAACACTAGAATAAAATGCCCCGAGAGTAAGTGACAGTAGCAAAACCTGCTTAAAATAACGACAAGGCCCGGATCTGAAAACGTCTAGGTGTGCACGCTCATTCTTCCTTTTCCTTCCTCCCCCTTTCTTGCTTCCTTTCTCTTTTCTTTGTCTTTCTGTCTCCTCCCTCCATCCAGGTTTTTTTTGTTTGCTTGTTTCTTTTCTTGAACCTGGAAAGAGTAGCTATGTTTTAACAAAAAGCTCTGAATTCGGAGCCACGAAGTCTGGCTCCAACACTGACTAGCTGTGCAACTTTGGGGAAGTCACTTACTCTCTCTGGGCCTCCATTTCTGTTTGCCAGACACTGTCCATCCTGAATAAGGCAGGAAAGACCTCTACTTTCATAGAGTTCATATTCGAATAGAGATGAGGTAAACAAATACGATCGTTTTAGGTAACGATTAATGCGTTATTTACAGAATAAACAGAGCAATGTGATAGACTCTGGGTACAGGGAGGACTTTAGATAAGGTGGTCGGTCACAGGTGGCTGCCCTCTCAGGAGGTGACATTGAGCTAAGACTTGAATGATAAGAAGGAAACAGCCAGGAAAATGTATTTCAGGGGGAGAAGGTATCAGATGCTAAAGACCCTAAAGCAGAAATGAGCTTGACAGTATTTAGAAACAGGAGTGGTCCTTAGGGCGAGCACAGGCGAGATATTGTGGAGAAATTTATTCATTAGTGGCAAATTCATCAGCGCAGTTATAGTTCTGATTAAAATATCCATAGCCTTAACTGGTTTGGCTCAGTGGATAGAGCGTCGGCCTGCGGACTGAAAGGTCCCAGGTTCGATTCTGGTCAAGGGCATGTACCTTGGTTGTGGGCACATCCTCAGTAGGGAGTGTGCAGGAGGCAGCTGATCAATGTCTCTCTCTCATCGATGTTTCTAACTCTATCCCTCTCCCTTCCTCTCTGTAAAAAATCAATTAAAAAAATATATAAAATATCCACCCTAGCCAGTTTTCTCAGTGGTTAGAGCATGGACCCATGGACTGAAGGGTCACAGGTTTGACTGCAGTCAAGGACACATATCTGGGTTTCAGGCTTGACCCCAGGCCCTGGTCAGGGCCTGTGTAGGAGGCAACCAATCAATAAGTCTTTCTCACATCAATGTTTCTCTCTTGCTGTCTCTCCACCTACCCTCTAAAAATCAGTGCGGGGGCAGGGGGGCGGGGGGGCCGCCTAGCCAGTTTGTCTCAGAGGATAGAGCGTCAGTCAGCCTATGGACTGAAGGGTCCTGGGTTCGATTCCAGTCAAGGGCACATGCCTGGGTTACAGGATTGCTCCCAGTAGGGGGCGTGCAGGAGGCAGCCAATTAATGATTCTCTCTCATCACTGATGTTTCTCTCTTTCCCTCTTCCTTCCTCTCTGAAATCAAATGTGGACATTTTAGATTAAATGTAAAGCCTATTCAAGGTAAGTAACTAGAAACAGCAGGACAGTTACAACTTGTTAAAAAACAAGTACCGAACCAAAAACCTACATCGAATATCACATTTCATGGAGAAATGTTTGAAGTATTCCCTTTAAAATCATGAAGGAGACAAAGATGGCTGCTATGGCCACTTTCAGCATTTTACTGGAGGTCCGCAGCAGCCCAGAAAACAAGGAAGTTTCTGTTTTCAAACTTTATGATCATCTTTATAGAAACAATAAAGTCTGTGGTCTTAGAGAATAAACAATTCAGTGGTCTGCTTAATATCAGATCAGTGTGCAAAATGAATTGCAATACTTTCTACCAGTAATAGATAAAAAAATATATAATTTAAAAATATTGACACTAGCAACAGAAAATATGAAGTACTAAGGAATAAACTGAATAAAAGATGCGACTGACTGACATGGAGAATGATTATAAAGCTTTATTGAAATACATTTAAAGCATCAAAAAAGGGGCACATATCATAAAAAAATCTATTCTTCCAAAATGAATCTCTCAACTCTATGTCAGCCCAGTAGAGAAACAAAACAAACAAAAACCAGGCATTTTCCTAAAAATTGACAAATTAAATAATTTCTATAAAAGAAGAAAGGAATGTCAAAGTGGTTTTGATGAAAAGGCAGAGTAGAAAGGACTGACCTATAAGTTATCAAGGTTATTAAAAACCATAGTAAGGAGCGGGCCTAAGCCATCAGTAGGACATCCCCTGAGGGCTCCCAGTCTGTGAGAGGGGGCAGGCTGGGCTGAGGGGACCCCCCCCCCCAGTGCACGAATTTCATGCACCGGGCCTCTAGTGTTGATATAAGCTTAGCTCTGGGTTGGTAATTGTTGAAGCTGGGCATTGGACATATGGGGATTCACCAAATCTTCATAAAAAAGATAAGAAGGAAAACAAGAATATTATGATAATAGGATACCAGGTTTCACCCATCAGATTAGCAAACATTTTCAAATCTGATCATTCTAAGTGTTAGCATGAACATCAAACAGTGGGAACTCATACACAAGTGGTAAGGACATAAATTAACACAACTAATTTGGAAGAAAATTTGGGCCCAGAGGGAATACCCTAGGGGTGGTAACGTTTTACTTCTTCAGCTGGGTGGAAGGTACGTGAGTGTACACGACAGTATGCTTTAGCCCTTTTGTGTGTAATAAAATAATTCATAGTTAACAATATAAAAAATTTTCACAATATATACAAATATCGACTCATATACCTGAAACATAATGTTATATGCCAATCGTATCTCAATTACAAATATATATAATATATGTATAAATATTTTTCAGTAAAAGGAGGGGGAAGTGAGAGAAGAGGCACAATAGTACACATTGGGGGAATGAGATTGATTTCGGTTCACCAATCAACTTTTACTGAGAACTGATGAAGGAACCTTGCCTGGCCTACAAGGCACACAGTCCTCTGGCAGGAGAAAAATGCTGGTTTCTCTCGGTGCAGAGGTGAAGAAGTTACTGCAAAGCATGGGCTCCAGCCAGACCCCTAATGTGGCCCCACATGTCAAAGCATGGGCAGGCTTTTGATCCCACTTCAAAGGTCCGAGCTTTCCTTCTCTTTACCCCCCCACCCCGCCCGCCTCCCGTCCTCTCTAGTCTAATTCAGAATGGTTTCTAGAGTTGAGTCTTTCATGACCTGCACGCAGTAAAATAAATACAGCACGGTGCTGCGTGCAGGTCCATGTAGCTTCCTAAAGTGAGTGAAGGGGAAGAGAAGGCAGCAGTGTGAGGGTGAGAGACCCGACACCTGTGCCTTCCTCCTGACAGCTGTCCCAGGGTTTCCCCGGCAACAGGAATAAACAAACATGCCCCCTAGGCTTCTAGCTGATTCACCAGGTGAGCCACCTGTTCAGGAGGAAGGCGTCTCTACACCAGAGCCCGATCCCAGGGGAAGAAGACATAGGGATGTGCCAGACTCACGTCCCATAAGGAGGAGGCAAAACACGGGTGGTCATCTTGGTATCAGCACCTCCTACAAACCCTTTCTGGCTTCCCCATGGCCTTCCTGGGGGAGTCCCCAGCTTCCTCGTGGCCTTCCTGGGGGAGTCCCCAGCTTCCCCAGTGCCTTCCAGGGGAGTCCCCAGCTTCTCCAGGGCCTTCTTGGGGAGCTCACAATAATGGAAGCCCGCTGGGCAATCTGATCCCGGCATCACATACAAAACACTACCAACTCTGGCTCCTTGGACCCTGTCACACTGTGGGGTCCAGGCCCTGTGCTCTCTCACTTGATTTCCAGCTTGTGCCAGCTTCCTGGGTCCCTCGGTGATGGCAGAGTGTCAGCTGAGGTGCTGCAGATCTGAAAGAGACCAAAGAGAATCACAGGGCTTGTCACCCTCCCCCAACATGTCTCCACCTCTTCTTTTTATAAAAAAATTTGTCTTTATTGGCTTTATTTTTTAAAAGAGAGAGGAATGTCGATGTGAGAGAGAAACGGATTGGTTGCCTCCCGTATGCACCCTGACCAGGACTGAACCTGCAACCTAGGTGTGTGCCTTGACGGGGAATCACATCCACAACCTTCTGGTGCCC